CACCCACATCCCACATCCGCACCCTCATTTTAATGGCATTTTGGGGGTTGTAAATTTTGGCTGAGGTGTGGGGATGGGTATCTGTGTGGGTATTATTGTGAGTGAGTGTGAATGTTTTGACCTTCTGTTCTTTAACACCCACACTCGCATCTACTCACAGCCATACCCCACACCCACGCCTACATACTGACACTCATAGAAGGTAGAAGAGCAAAATCAAGCAACGAAGAAAAAAAATAGAGAAAGAAAATATAATCTCTTGTATTCTAACAATAATGATTTGTTAAACAAGATTTAGTGTGCAAATGAAAATCGGACTTGTAATAGCATATGAAAATCGATATACTTGAAATTACACGACAATTGTATGTGCGTAGAAAGAGATAAAAATCTAAGATATAGACTGTAAATAGAGTACTAGTATCAGATTATAATGGTAGATATATGACCCATCCATATTATTCAATAGCATATAAAAATCAAGAGAACACATCATCATGAATTGATTCCGAATACAAAAACAAAAAAAATCAAATTTTCAGTCGGGCTTTTGATAGGCCGGACTATATATCGAAGAAAAAAGAATTTATCGACAATCGAACACATTTCTAGGATAGTCACAAAGTTGAGTACGTAAATTGAACAATGTCATTTCTGGACATTCGGTTTTCGATCTAATATAATACAAAAAGAAAGACTTTATAAATCTTAATATTCCTTGATTGTTCTTTACTTTTGTTGACAATCAATGAATCGCCGGCAGTTACCCGGATAGCGAATTCGTGCAGGATTTGGTGTTTGTGCTGGACATGGATCAACTAAATCAAATAGAAACAAAACAGATATTCTCAATTGAAAATTATTTTATCAATCTACTTGCCACATTTTTTATTTTCATCAGGTACAAATTGACGTGAACATTCACATGCTTCATCACGACATTCCGCATTATCAACACATTCAGCTGTTGCTCGATCACATACTGCACCTGGATAACCACGACATTTACGTACTGATGGATAATATTTATAATGTGATTCGCATGAGCAAAATGACGGTGTACTTGTTTTATTACACACAAGATTTGCTCGACAATCCATATTACTTTCACATGGAGCATGATAATCACCACCTGTAAGAAAATAATGTTTTTAGAATTCATTCAAATAAACTTGGAGCATAAGAAAATTAGGATGTACGAGTTAATTCACAGTGAAGTTTTTTTGATTCATCTAAGCAGTATTCTCTTGTGCAACACGACTTGCAAAATGTGTTGAAGTACAGATGGTAGAAATTTGCGCCCCCCTCCCCCCGCTGACCATGACAGATATCTTAATCAGCCAATTAGTTTACTATTTAATTAACTAGTTGCTCATCACAAACTGTAACAGAGACAGTAGTGGACGATAGGACAAATCGTTCGGGAAATGATTTCCATTCAAACAGAAACGGATTATCCACACAAAATCATGCGCAACAAAGACAGTTGGGTTAGTTAGAATAAATACATTTGATACATCTATGACTAACTGTCTTTACAAGTGACACCTCCTTATGTCTTTTTATTTCGCCTTCTAAAAGAAGAAATACATCGAGGATTTCCCCTTAAAATAGTTCCATTTCTTCTGAAAAATATTGTTTCTGCTAGAATTCACATATAAGATGAAAAAATTAACGAATGATATCTCCTCTTATTTTTTTTCATATCTACTTATCAGAGTAGAAACGGATCAAGCATTTCTACTTGAAATAGTTCCATCTCTCCTGAAAAAAGACTATTTTTACCAGAATTTACTTATAAAACAAAAAGAAAATGAATAATATCTTTACTGTCTTTTTAATTTCTGCTTGTGAAGATAGATATTGATCAAGGGTTTCTATTTGAAATGATTCCATATAGAATGAAATCTATTTTTTGTAAAGCGTTTCTCCTTGACTTTGTGAGGAGTGAATGGTTTCTGCTATAAATGGAGCAATTTCTCCGTTTTTAGGGATATTATACAGTCTTCCACAGAGAGGGTCCGCATTCATCACAGATGGTAAGGGACGGCTTCGAGGAACTATTATTAGAGGTTATGTGTAACTAATACCTGATTGAATTCTATACGTAGAGTAGTTCATCCTTAAACTTTCATGCTGTATGGTAAGGAATAATGACGGAATATACCCCAATATGCAAAAAAAAAGACAAGTTTTTAGGCAATTAGGAACACTAGGTATATCAAGTTTCACATTTTAATTCCACAAGGGTTGCGCTAGGGTGTACCAAATTCAATTCCAGTTAAGCTCAAATCTTAGATTTGACTGGGTTTGACTGAATTTAGATTTCGATTTGATGTACTTTCCACAGAGATTGTAGATTTTTGGTATGAAAACTCGTCATAACCGACCAAATCTGTGTCACTTTTATTGCGTTTTTTCGCTCTATCCTACAGTGGTATTGGATTCCGTTTAACATCGAAAAAAGTTCTAAGAGTTGACAAGATTTGATGAAAAATATGGAAAAAAAAGGAAAATTTTCGTGAAATCCGGTCAAATCTTATAATTTCTTTCAATGTTAGACGGAACCTAATGCCACTGTAGTATAGAGCGAAAAAAACTGAATGAAAGTGACACAGATTTGGTCGGATTTGGTGAGTTTTCATACCGAAAGTCTACAATTTCTGTGAGAGGTGCATCAAATTCAAGTCAAATCAAATCCAGTGAAACCCAAAACGGAGAATTGGATTTGGATTTGACTAGATTTGGGTTTGGTGTACCCCTAGTTTGCGCTAACAGCTTTTTTGTATGGTTTTTAAAGAATCCTATAAGACATTTTTCAAGTCAATCAAATCATTCAAAAAAATATAACTGATTCAATGTGCAAATCTATATACAAACAACTATACTTACGACATCGTTTTCTATCATGATCGTAATCGAACTGTTTTTGACATTGACATCTACGTGTTTCATCATTCATACTCGAACAGAGCATATATCGTTGACAATCGACGTCTTTTGTACACACAGTATTAAGATCACCAACTAATATAAAATTTTATTATTCGAATAATTTCAATATGAATGTGCCAGGTAAAATTGAGTTTTAGGCAAAACTAAACATAATCAGTGATGCAAACTCTTTGGAAAATGTTCACTCCTGTTAGACCCTATTGCCGACTTGTGAATCAATCAAACTTTTTTGGTTAGAAAGAGTGATGTCTGAGACACAAACTTTGAAGCGGTAATATTTTTTTCAAAATGAATCTGAGAAAGAAAAGGCAAGAAATGAAACAATTCTAAAAAAGTTCGTGCATTTTCACCAATGAGCAACACCATTTATTATTTTCTGTTAGTTTTTTAGATTACACAGAAAATAAGAAAGCACATTTTATGATGACGTTTGGAACTCAAATGGTGGGTGTGGATATGGGTGTGAAAGAATAGAAGGTCAAAACGTCCACATTCACCCACACCCACACCCATCTTATTTAACGAAAACAATTTCCGACGACTAAATTGAAATTTACATCCAAATTTAATGATTTTCGATTTCCCTTTCTTGATAAGATTAAAAAAATAACTCATTGGTATAGTCTGAATCTCAAAACAACTTTTATATAAACTTTGAAGAGATTTAGAAATTTTTTTTCTAATAATCTTAAGATTCGTTTTATTTCTTTATGCAAAGAACTAAATCAAGATTAAAATAAAAATGTCAGTAGATCATTCAGCCTTTAGAAATTTGTCGTCCTCCGAACAAAAAACACGATAAGACCTTGAAAAATCCCTGCTATTATTGTTATGAAGATTTTGCCCAACGCTGATATTAAAATTCTGTTACTTATAGATTTATAAATATTGAACGAATCCTGACTTGAACCTAGCTGAAAACGTGAGGGAACCATATCATTCATTCGTGCTAGTTTCCTGACAGCATCCTGAAAAATTAAATTTTGAATAGTCTCTAAACACAAATCGAAAAAGATCCTAACTGGCTCCTTGTATTTTCTTATCAAAATCCTGATTAGAATTGGTAATGTCTTATTAATTCTGCAAACACACATTCTTGAAAAGTTCTGAAGAAGATTCTGATTGAAACTTTCCAGGATTAATCAGTTTCGTATTCTGACTGCTCTTATTATTTTCTTTCTAGAATTCTCGTCTGATGTGACTATCACTCTCGACAAGATTCTGATACGTAGATTTGATCTAGAGTTTGACAAGAATTTGATAAAATCTTAGCCGAATCCTCGTTCGTAATCTTGAGAGGATTCTCGATAGGATCTTGACTCAATTCTGGTAGGATCCTGTATTTTCCACTCAGATAAATATCTAAGCAGGAAATTGAAGAAATCCTAAACAGAATCCTGTTGTACGCTGAAAAATTCCTGAATTAGAAATCGCTAGAATTCGAAACAGGATTCTGAATAAAACTTGATAAGATCCTTGATATTGAGAATCCTGAAAGATCTTTTCAAGATTTCACAAGAAATGATCAGAGTTGAGATCAGGGTTTCTTCTTCTTGGAAAGAACTTGTTTTAACTTTCAATAGTAACATTTCCTAACATACTCTATACAAGAAAAGGTTCTTCCCACAGGTGCAAAGTAAGAGACTCTGTTTTGGGTTTCCTATGAAAAAACAAGCGTTTTCTAGAGTTGAAAATAATTCGAAGTTTTTTAGAAATTATATCTAGGAGCGTGGTATTGTTATTACTGCTACTATAGTTCGTTCACAAAGTCCGTGCGTGTGACTGGTTTTTGAATAACTCGAGAAAGCAAACAGCTAGAGATCTGCGGTTTTCACCAATCGAAAGAGGAGGAGTTAGGGCATCTTTTTCTCTGATAATGTGCCAGACGAAATTCTTTTAAAACTGATAATCTTTGAAAAATATAGAAAAGAATGCATGAAAGTGATATACAATACACGTGAAGTTTGTATTATGACCTTTGATTTAGATAGAGGAACTTCAGATCTATAGTTCAAAACATAATACACTTTCTTACGTTTCATTACATTTTCATCGAAGTATCGAACTGTTTTGACAAAAAATGCAAAAACGTAGTAAAAAATCAACAAAATACCCTATTATTTGCGCATGTAAATACATGATTTCATTTGGTCAACATTAGAATGCAATTAGAGAGCCATTTACGCTTCATCTTGAACTATAGATCTGAAGTCTCTCTGTCTAAATCAAAGGTCATAATCGTAACTTCATGTCTATTCTATGTCACTTTCATGCATTATTTTCTATATT